AAACCAAAAAAGAAGGAAACTGCCTAAACACTAATCCCATGACTTTAGAGAAATTATTCTGAATAAGCTAACAATCCTCTTACATAATTACTCTATATTCGGCCACATACAGCAATAGGACAGCCAATCATTCCTAATTTACCGACACCCCCCCTCAAGTTGGTGCATAGATATTGATCATGCCCAACTTGCTTACAAATCAAAATTCTGCCCAAGTAACCCTTTGGTGAAGACATCGGCAATTTGCTGAGTTGTAGGCAGGAAAGGTATATAGATGACTCCATTTTCAAGCTTCTCCTTTATAAAGTGTCTATCAATCTCCATATGCTTTGTCCAATCATGTTGAACTGGATTATTAGCAATGTTAATAGCTGCTTTATTGTCACAAAACAGCTTCATCGGAAACTCCACTGGTCTACTAAGTTCTTCTAGTATTCTCTTTAACCAAAGAATCTCACAAATCCCTTGAGCCATTGCCCTATATTCTGCTTCTGCACTACTCCTAACCACCACACTCGGTTTTTTGCTTCTCTAGGTTACCAAATTTCCCCATAGGAAGGTACAATATCCAGAGGTAGATCTTCTGTCAATCGCAGACCTTGCCCACTCTACATCAGTGTAGACTTCAATCCTCCGTTGATCACTTTTCCAAAAAATATAATCCTTTCCTTGGAGTTCCCTTTAAATATCTTAAAATTCTGTAAATTGCTTCCAAATGTTCTTCGTAGGGAGAATGCGTAAACTGACTCACCATACTTGCCAGCGAAAGAAATGTCTGGTCGAGTGTGGGATAAATAGATTAACTTTCCCACCAGGCGTTGATATCGACCTGTGTCTACAGGAACTCCTTCCTTAACCTCCCCAAGCTTTGAGTTAAATTCCATAGGAGTGTCTGATGGTTTACAACCACTCATTCTCGGTTCTTTCAACAGATCTAGGATATACTTCCATTGGGAAACTACTATACCTTTTTTAGACGTAGCAATTTCCATTCCAAGGAAGTATCTAAGCGGTCCTAGATCTTTGATCTCAAACTCGGTAGAGAGGCTCTTCTTCAGTTTATCCATTTCCTCAAGATCATCACCAGTGAGGATAATATCGTATGCATAAACAATCAAAACTGCAATTATTCCTTCTGCATAAGTCTTCATAAACAAGGTATGATCAGTCTGCCCCTGTAAGAAACCTTGAGTGTTTACAAATCTTGCAAATCTATCGAACCAGACCCTTGGGGATTGTTTAAGTCCATATAAAAACTTCCTCAACCTGCAACATTTTTTCCCAAAGCTTTCAATAAATCCTGGGGGAGCTTCCATGTACACTTCCTCTTCTAAATCTTCATTTAGGAAGGCATTCTTGACGTTCAATTGATGTAGAGACCAATCCAGGTTAACTGCAATATAAAGTAGCACTCTTATAGTATTCAACTTAGCAACTGGTGAAAAAGTTTCTAAATAATAAATGCCATAAGTTTGTTTTAACACCTTATCAACCAATCGAGCCTTGTATCTCTCTAGTGACCCATCAGAATTGTACTTCACGGTGAACACCCATTTACACCCAACTGGTGTTTTTCCTGCTGGAAGGTCCACTTTCTCCCATGTCCTATTCTTCTCAAGAGCTCCCATCTCCTCAATAACCGTCTCCTTCCATTCAGGAACATTTAGAGCCTCCTGTATATTCTTAGGAATAACAACACAAGACAATTTTGAAGTAAAAGCTCGAAATGATGGAGACAGACTCTGATAGGATAGAAAATTATACAATGGGTGATTAGTACAAGTTCTAGTTCCCTTCCTAAGAGCAATGGGCAAATTTAAAGTTTCATCTGATTCTGATATAGAAGCTGGTTCAGAAGACAGACTTGATGGGACTTGCTTCGGACTGAAACTTACTTGACTGATCCTCAACCTCAGGATTTGTCCTCGAGTTAGTTTCTTGACCATGCTCCAAGTTGTTGGTTCTTTTCTGTTGTTCTGGATACTTCCTTGAATAGACCATCCCTTTATAACGATGACCATGCGTCGCACACATTTCAATCCTTTCATGAATTTGATTTTCCAAGGGCACAAAAGAAGAATCCCTATTTCCATTATTTGAGACATCACAATTTTTTGAAATAGAATCATGAAATGCGTCCACACCATTTTTCAGTTTCATCAATTTCCTTATGAACATTGGGTAAAAAATCATCTAACAACCAACCAAAAGTCGAATCTGTACCTGCTCCCCCCCCCCCCCCCCCCCTTGAAGATGAGTCAAACTGAAAAATGGTTTATCTTCAAAGAAGGTTACATCCACAGAGACAAAAAAATTTTGGGATATTAGATCAAAACATTTGTATCCCTTCTGGGTTGAAGGATAACCGGCAAAGACATATTTTTTTTGCTTTAGGATCAAGTTTTCCTCGATTAATATCATGAATATGGACAAACGCAGTACACCCAAACACTTTAAGTGGGAGATCATGTGAGAGTCGAGAGGAAGGAAAACATGTTTTAAAGCAATTCAAAGGGTTTGAAATTTTAAAACTTTTGAAGACATCCTATTGATCAAATATGTAGCTGTAAGAATAGCTTCACCCCATAAGTATTTAGGAACTTTTGTTGAAAACATTAAAGATCTTGCAACTTCTAAAAGATGTTTATTTTTCCTCTTTGCTATCCTATTTTGTTGAGGAGTATTATTGCATGAACTTTGGTGGACAATACCCTTTTCAACAAATTCTTTGCGATTATCACTTCTGAAAACTTGAATATGAGTTTGAAATTGTGTTTGAATCATTTTATAAAAATCTTTAAACACATTTTTAGTATCCGATTTTTCATTAAATAAAAATACCCATGTAATCCGAGTATGGTCATCAATAAAAGTTATGAACCATTTTTTTTCCAGTTTTTGTTTTAATTCTTGAAGGCCCCCACACATCACTATGAATCATAGTAAAGGGTTCTGTGGCCTTATAAGGTTGTGCTGGAAAGGATGCTCGACGATGTTTGGCAATTTCACAAATTTCACACTGAAATGAAGATGGATTTTTATTCATAAAAAGCTTTGGAAACATATCTCTCATATAATAGAAACTTGGATGACCTAATTTAAAATGCCATATGCCAAAATATAATTTCATTTTCACTAAGAATTGAAATAGAATTGAGACAAGTCTTCTGGGATTGCCTGCTCAAGTCATAACCATCTTCGAAGAAATAGAGACCTCCAACTTGCCTAGCATTGCCAATCATCTTCCTTGTGGTCAAATCCTAAAATTGACATCCAGATGAAGAAAAATTAGCTTGACAGTTTTGATCGACTGTTAGTTTACTGATTGACAACAAATTACAAGAAAACTTAGGAACATGGAGAACATTATGGAGTGTAAAACAGGGAGAAATAATAATTGATCCTTTTCCGACTACTGCTGAGAAAGAACCATATACTATTTTCACTCTTTGATTTCTTGCACATGAACTATAGGATGAAAACAGTTTAGAGGAACCGGTCATGTGATCTATTGCCCCAGAAACAATTATCCAAGAATCATTTGAATTGACACTAAAATAGGACGCAACTAGAAGGTTACCTTTCTGAACCAGAGAATAAGAAGGATTTGAGTTAGAGAAATTTTGAGACTGAAGAATTTTACAGATTTGCTCTATCTGTTCCTTTGTGAATGGTTGCGTTCCAGAGGAGATTTCGGGCCCTAATTCAGTCGTATTGGCATGGGAGACACGATCATCTCAAGGTGGTTTTTTCTTCCACTTGTTCGGCTTTTCATGGATTTTCCAACACGTCTCCCGAGTGTTCTATGGTCGTTTACATTGATCGCACCAAGGCCTTGTTTTGCTATACCTCCTATCTCCCTCAGCTTCGGTTCCTCTGGACAAGAGCGTTGACCCTTCTTCCTCTGGTTCGGCTTTCCTAATCATCACTTTTCGCCTCATCTCTTCTCTCCTAATTTCAGAGAAAACCTCTCGGATAGAGGGCAGAGTTTTTCTTCCCAATATCCGGCCTCTAACCTCGTCCAATTCTTGGTTCAAACCTGCAAGAAAGACAAACACGATCGTTCTCCTCTTTTTTTGTGTCGAACACTATCATTCGGACACTCCCAATCATCTTCATAACAAAGATCTAACTCCTGCCACAAGGTCACAAGCTCGTTGTCAAACATGGTAACATTCCGGTCTCCTTGCTTGGCTTTCCATCATTTTGTTTTCAGTTCAAAAATTTGGGAGGAATTTTCAATGTCTGAGTACATCTCACAAACTGCATCCCACGCACCCTTGGCTGTCGGTAAGAACATGTGCGGCTTTCCAATGGTTGGTTCCATTGAATTAATTAGCCAAGCTGTGACTAAGGAATTTGCAGACCTCCATGTCGCCTCCAGTCAAATGGCCGAGCTTCCCTCTGCCATCAATCTCCAATTTTACTGATTGAGCCCATGCCAAATAATTTTGGCCATTCATCTATGGTTTGTTAATTGGAAGGACATATTCGAACCAAAGACACTTTCGCCACTGCTGGTCGCTCCTCCGCCGCTGGTTGCCGGCGCTGTACTGCGTGATTGTGCATCCTCTGCTGAAGTACCACTTGAACCGGTCATCGCTTGCCATTAGTCCATCTAGGGCAGAATTGAAGAAGAATTTCTAGGGTTGTTTTTGGTAAGAGTCGTGGCTCTGATACCATGTAAGCTTTTAGAGAAGAGAAAAGAAACTTCTTGTTTCTCATTCAATAACTTCATATATACCGGCCTCCTTATATAGATGAGCCAAAAGATAACAAATGAAGGGAAATAAAACAAATAAAGAAACAAACCAAAAAAGAAGAAAACTGCCTAAACACTAATCCCATGACTTTAGGAAAATTATTCTGAATCAGCTAACAATCCTCCTACATAATTACTCTCTATTTGGTCATATACAGCAATAGGACAGCCAATCATTCCTAATTTACCGACAGAAAATAACCTTGCTTGATTAGTTTTTCATTGTTTATGGCTCCAGGTTTTTCAATCCCCTCAGCCTTCCTATTGTGGGTCATGAGAGAAGTACCGCCCCTAGTAACGACTAACGTTCAAGAAGAATCAGCTACATTAACTTTCATAAGTGATGGTTCGGCTGCAATACAAAACCCTCAGCGCTGGACAACGGTAACAAGCGTGAGTAATCAGGTCTGCATTTTCGTCTTTTTTTTTTTGGGTTCTTTTACATTATTTCTTTGATTTTTAGAGTACAGAACAAGGATAGATTTACTGACCTTTTGTACAGAAAATGAAATGACTTTAAGCTTTAAACCTTCACTTTAACGCCTGCTTGCGTTCACGCTGACATGCATAAACCATTGAATGAAGCAGAGGAAATTCGTTTCGATTGTTCATAGAAAATCAAATTATGAAAAGATTATTTCTTAAAATGTAAGCACATATTAATGAAACAGAGTATTAGGCAGCCGCAGTCCCACTTCAAATGTCGTAATAATTGGTCTCTGTTAATTGTGATAGCGGCTGTAAAAGAAATGTTGTAATTGGTTTCGAATACTAAAGCTGTGAAGGGGACTGTGGCGGAGCATTATAGCAATGTAAAAAGTTGTAATATGAATTCTGACTTCCACGGAATATGGGATTTATCCAAGTTTAGAACAGTGTAAATTGAGGAAGGCTCATCAGAAAAGAATAATTACCGATTCGCTTCACAGCTGAGCCAGAATTTTTGTGTGATCATGTGACGGTCTTTCATTGAAACCTTGCTTATTTACAAGGAAATGAAATGAAAGTCTTCATTTGCTTTATGGCTGACGTTAAACCATAAGAAACCAACCACTTCGACTTTTGATTTTACATTATTGTATGCGAAGACGAGGCAGCTTCTAACCAAGAGCTTGGACGTGCAGATATCAAGAGCAAGTCCTATATGACACGGTTTATGTATGCGAAGTATGTTCTGTGTTCTATTAAATTTGTACTTGCACGCTAGATTCGGATGAACAATCTTTATCAGCGTAACAGCTTGGGAGACATGAAAGATGAGAATGAAAGAGGCTGATGAATATACCTTCTCAACAGGCATTTGGAGTTTAGCCGTAAGGTTGCCAATGCCATGGTTTTGACTATTAAATTTTCATTTCGGTTTCAGGCATGTAAATAGTACCAATATGCACAAGCGATCTTTTCATGTTATAGAAATTTTTGTGTTTTTTCTATTAGTTGATTGAATGTGAATCTGCTTGTGTTTTGTAGCCTTTTTTCTCTGATATCCCAGTTCTTTGTTATGGTTAACTTTGCTTGAATTAGAATGAAAAAAGAAAAAAAAAAAAATCCATGTTCCTTAGTTGAAGGGACAGATATATATCATCTCTTAAATACAAGATTTTTGCTTACTTTTTCTCATTAAGTAGTAATTTGAGGACATAATTGGGTAGTCCTTAATTTTGAAAAAAGAAAAGAGAAATCTTGACAAATGCACTTGTCTCTTAAAAGTGCATGGATCTTGATTTTTATTCCTTACTATTAATACTTTTTTTAATCAAATAACTATATGAACAAAATGGTACTAATCAAGAGTAAAAGAGTAAAAATTCAAACTTATATACTTTAAAGATAAGTTCAACGATTTTATCAAAAAAAAAAAAAAAAAGAAAATGCTTTGACTTGGTTAAACATGACATGTGAATTCTCTAACATGGACTAGAGAAAACACAACATGGAATCCACTACAATTTTACTTATCCATGTGCAGGACTTTGCTATGCATCATATTTCATAAGAACCCAACATGTTCCAATCAATTATCCTGGATTACCAAATATGCATCCACATTTTGTTTAAGACGATTCTCAGTTGTCTGAGATAGTCGTTTCCTTGAAGCACATTTGAAATTGAGATATTGCGCTGCAGCGATTTATCACCATTGAACCTGAAAAGTGAAGTGCAGAAGGGCCAATTGATCCCAACTCATAGCTACAAATCGTTTGGTAAGACAGAAATAGAATCATGTACTTAGTACTCATTTAGAAAGAGAGGATAAAATGAATAAATAACGCGCAATACAAATACGTTTGGTCCAATCAAATTGCCCATCTAGGCATAGTGAAAATCACTCCTGTAGAACATGAAATGATTTAATCTAATCACTAGCAATTACTAACCATGTAAAGGGTGAAAGTTTCCCGTTTCACCTTGAAACCGGATATCAGAATTAAGCATGTGCTCCTAAAAATCCTGAGTTAAGCTCGTAACGGAAATGTTAACGAAAAAACCGAAAATGCATTGATGTAAAACAACTCTATTGGAGGCGCCTTCATCCAATCTTTGCAAAATTTTAGCCGCGGAATATGCTTCAATTTATGATTTGTACTCACACCAGGATTAGTCAGGCGCAACAACCCTGATATTTCCTAAAATTTTTGTTTTGAGCTTCAAATGTCTTTTCTAGACTTTTGAGATTCCTTCAGCTGAAGACAAACCCTGCACACAAATCAAATTATCATCAAATTCTAACTCCTTTTGCTTCAGAAAACACGAACTTAATAAAATTTCTATACTAGGATACTAAAAGCAGCTTCAGGATACAGTCTCCGGATTACGCACCAAAGCATAATATGTCATGATTAGAAAATGAACTCCAAGATGAGAAAAACTTAACAACAACCACCAGGAAACCTGCCAAAATGGGTGGCACGATGCTTGAATTCTTTGCCAAAATGTCTCCGATTCAAGACATCCCAACGGGGTGGTTCGTCGTTCGGGTTACAAGAAAATGCTCACATAATGTTCGGATTATAGCAGAACATGAAACATCAGAACAACAAACATTCTTCTACTATAACTTTTCTCTCTTCAACCAGCCAAAAAAAAAAAAAGGCCATTATATAAAGCGTGCTTAGTGATTGTACCTTATCCGAGGCTGAATCCTTCACGCTTCTATTCCTCAATGAACCAAAATCTTTAGGAGGCCATATCTATTAAACCCAAAAGGTAAAAGAAATGAGATTTCTCTTCTTGTAAGATGATTAGAGTCCAAACAAAACTTCAAGGCAATCTAAAAAAGAGACAATATCTGATATCTACAATCTAAGAATATGAAAACTAATTTATGTTATACCATAAGAATTGGTTACCTAGTCAATGCATGGTAAATAGTAAAATGTTTGAAAAAAGAGAATGACACAAAGGAAAGAGCACATACCCTCCAGAAGATTTTTCCTTCAAGAAGACCATAAGGAACCGCCCCGTATTTCCTTGAATCCTTTGAAACATACATATTGTCTCCCTCTATCCAAACATGTCCCTTTGGAACCTTTAATATATATATATATATATTTAAACGAATTACAAAGTCATTAAACTCAAAAACCAAACATAACTAATGAAAAGCCACCTAAAACCCGTAATGCATAAACCAAAAACAATTATCAAAACCAAAATAAATTGTACAAATAAACTTGACAAAAGATCAAACACTTGGTGGACCAAAAAAGAGAAATTCAGGAACCTATATACAACGCAAACGGTTAAAACTTTTCCAAATCAAAACCGAAAATTGGATAAAACCCATCAACCAAAAAGCTCAAAATATTTTGTTTTCATACCACAAGGGTCTCACGCCTATCACTCTTCCCAGGCTCCACAAAGTAGGTAACAGAGTCACCTTCCAAGCCAATCAAGCGCTTGGTCACGACGCTTACGACGCTCCTCGGATTCTCAGGCGACCGTAAGAGGACGATATCGCCCGGGCCCACCAGCCCGAACCGGGTCGAGATGCGCTCGGCCAGGACCAGATTGCCTGCGAGATCAAGAGTCGGGAGCATGCTGGGACCGTGGGTCTGCACACACAGGATTATTAGAGTTTGTCCTTTTTGGTCATTTCGCATGCCGGGTGTTTAGAAGGGGCGGGGATTGTATGAGGGAGGACTTACCAGAGCTACAGTGCAGAGGTGGGTGTTGATGACGTGGAAGCCGCAGAAGCAGTTAGTGGCTAAGAAAGTTGCATCGCGGAATACGCTTCCCTCTTTAAAGAGAGAGAGGATTTCTCTGATTGCGGCCTTTACACCGCCCGGGTTTCTCAGCGCCATAATTTCTCTTGTGTTTTGCTAAGCAAAAACAGATGTTTGATATACCAATGTGGTTATGAAAAGTTGTTTATGGGCCTTTCTGATGAGCGTGGGCCTCAATAGGGTGAACAGGGGAGCCCAACTGTTTAAAAATTTAGATGAGATAAAAGAGAGAAATACACGAATGGAAAAAGAGAGAATGCACGGGTCTTTTTACACTTGATTAATATTTTTTAATTAAAGAATTATATTAGTAAAAAAATATTAATAAAAAATAAATGATAAAAATTTTAGAACAATGCATTCAAAAATGAATTCACCAGTTTTCTCGTACACAAATAAAACTCAACACTTCACATTTATGCCATCAATGGTGTAAACTTCACACTTATACTACTCAATTCACAAGAAAATATCTAAGATATTAAAGTTACCTTATGGAGTACGTACTATTTTTTTTCTCGAAAAAGATGGCCAAATATATGAGGGTTTGTTCTTTTGGATCAAAATTTAAAAAAAGTTTGAACTCAAGTTACAATTTTATTTAAATTCATATTCTTTTGTAAAATTTGAGTTTGAATTTGAATTTGTGGCTAAAATTTAAGTTCAAGTTCTCCCTTCAACTCAAGTTCTTAAACTCAGACTCAAGTTAATGAACAATATTTTTTCTATTCTTAAAAACACCATAACTTTTTCGTTTTAATTCCGATTGAAATGATTTTTTTCTATGCGTTCACAACGAAGAGACGAATAAAATCCCATCCATATGCCCTATTAAAATTTTCCATCACTATTGAGTTTTTATTAAAATATTATCTAAATACAAATTCAATTTTCTATGCGTTTTAATTCGACTTTATATACTTTTTTTTTTCTAAAAAAAAAAAAGATAACTTGTTTAGATTTGATTTTTGGAACAAACATTGTATTCAGAGTAATCGTACCGTAAAAAGCTCTTTTATTTTGTTGGGAAGCTTTCAAAGCACTTAAATTTCTTACGTTGCTAAGCTCAGCAACTGGAAGTACTCGACCGAGCAGAAATTTGCTCTTTTGCTCGTTTGCTCTTTTTTTTTTTTTTTTTTTTCCCTGTTAGGAAGCATTGAAACGGTAAAAGTTATCATGTTATTATAGATGATTTTTTTTTGTACAGCTATTTATACTTTTGTTTTTTGACATTAAACTGAGTGTTAAATATATCAAATTCTTAGCATTGTTCTCTTAAGCAAGTTTATATGAATATGATTTTGTTGGATAACTTATGATTGTTAATTTGACATTGGAAATCTCAATCCTCAAACAAGCCTACTTTGTTTTGTTGGTGTGTTGCTTTCAAAGTTCAAAGTTGGGATTTATACCCGTGATTTTTCAAAGTTCCATTGATGGCCTCTATGTTACTTTCAAAGTTGGAGACTTGGAGTGCTCTCTCTCTTTCTATTCTCCTTTTTTTATTTTTACTTTTCTTTTATTTAGTTATTTATTTTATTATTATTATTATTATTATTATTATTATTATTATTTCTGATCAACAATAATAATCTGTTGTTTTATACTGAATATGTTCAACTAGAGTAAATATGCTTCAATGAATTTCATCACTTCACACATACACAGAGGAAAATCCAGAAATATTGTTGACCACAAATTTGTGGTCCACGATTTTTTTTCTATATGGACTTGTCTTGAACAATAAGGTATATAGTAAAAACCTTTCGTATGATAGAAATGAAACTTGTGAGGAATGTGAATAATGCAGTGAAGCCGTCCAATTTATTATTTGTCAAATGCAGAATATATAATTTTCTATTAAGAATTAGATGCGCTAATTTTATATTATCAAAAGCAAGAAAAATTGCAAAAAAGAAATCTAACAAAAAATAAACATGTAAAATTTATAAAGGTTCGCTTCAATATATAATTACATTTTTTTTTTTTTATAAATTATAATAATTTGTTATGATAAAAAGAAGTTGAAAATCACACGCCTCATAACTCTCTTTATTTTCTCTAACCTATCTAATTAATTTAAGATTGACGTCTCTTTTATTATAAAAAAACTAGGACAACGAATTTATAAATATAAAATCTCCAAACTAACCTTAAAGCCGATTTCTCTACACTTAACATTTTGTACACTCTCGTGATTTTTTTTTTCCCTTACAATAAGTCATAGGTATCCCTTTTCCTAAGAACTCTTTGTTATAAAATAAAATAGGAAAGACAAAGATGTAACCTCCAGCCATAGTTGATCAAGAAGAAAAGAAAACTCAACACCTCATATCTTCTAGTCTATTCCACTTCTAGAGTGCCTTACAGATAGAAATGCACAGGTAATAAGTTATCAGATATGATTAGGCTAGAGACTATTTATAGAATAGATTCACCTCCTTCCATTAAGAGGGTAGGGTGGATACAAAAAGGCTGGGGGCGTTTGGTAGAGAGATTCGTTCCCTGATTCGAATCATGATTCGTAGTTCGTTACAGTATTTTCTCTCACAAAAAATACACGTAAATCGAAAATAGTTCGAATCACATGGTTTGAATCATCCAACCAAACGAACCCTAATTCTTTCATATTAATTACCATATTGAAAGGAATAAAAGCCACCATCAATTCCTATGCGTGTTATGAAAAGTTACTATTTTCAATTACCTATTCATATACCCAAAATAAATCTCCTTCAATATGGAGCATAAAATGAACGTTAATAATTCTAACATTAACGTTAGAATTCTAAATACTCTCTGGCTTTGAATCTATTATCTCTAACTTAGCCTCACAAGAGTTTGTCCCAACCTGTTCTTAAGGTTGATAAATGCCTCCTTAATCAAAGCAATCAGTTCAAAAGATGGTTGATATTGTGCAGGAGGGACCCACCAACATCTTGAAAAAGTGTAGTGAAAGAACATAAAATGGAACTCTATTCTTTTGTCTAATTATCAAGTTATTCTATTTGATTAAACATTTATCAACCAGAAACATTGATGCTGCTTGACAAGGCCTAACATAATTATTGTTGAGTGGATTTAGGTTTTGCTTCCCAAAAGTCAACTTGTGGGAGAGTAATAGTGACCCTCTCACATTCAAAAGGAGACAAAAACTTCTTCTCATTTTCATATTTTGAGGACATACTAGGGTCAAAGAAAGTTTTTTCCCCAGAAAAGTGCATAAAAACATTTTAATATTTCCAGTTAAGCGGGTTTTTAAATTTAGAACTGATGACATGCAACTTTGAAGTAATAAATATAGTGAATACGCCAATAATGACAACTGAATCCGTATCTTTTCCTGTTGTACTTTTTCTTTTTCTTTTTGTTTTTTTAGGAATTCCCATTGTACATGTAATAGTTAAAAACAGTGTACGTCGAGAGATGAAATAGTTAGATTTATGTTACATTAGGCATTAGGCATGGTCAGATTTTAGTTGGGGTCAAACTTTTTCTGGCATTATATATATATATATATATTCTATAAAAAACTTTTTCTAGCAATAAAAACATAAAGATGTGTTTACTAAATTGTAATTGAACGGTGCCTCAAAATGGAAAGAGGAGAGTATTTGAGTCATTGTTTCTATTGCATTATTTTTTTTAGACGATGTCTCGTATGGGATAATTGTAGAATAAGAATATGGCTAATCGCAAGATAATTTTGACCCGTTTAGTTTGTTGATTTGAATTTTTAATTTAAGTTGAGATGTGATTTTATATGAGAATTTTTTACTGTAATAAAAAAATTAAATGTGACTATTTTTAAGAACTTTTTACTGTAATAAAACTCAAATTAATAAAATGAACGGGGCCAATACTAAATAGCATATTTTAAACGGAAATAGTAGAAAATAGGCCAATATAAAAAGTTTAAGATAGTATATAGGCTAATTTTTAGTTATAGAAATTAATAGGTCATAACTTGTCAAGTTATGATTCATAAACAGATAAGTTATGGACAAACTTGTCAAGTTATGATTCATAGCTAGACAAGTTATGGACAAAAACCATCAATAACTTGTCAAGTTATGGTTCATAACCAGACAAGTTATGGACAAAAACAATAATTTGGCATATTTATTAACTTATGTAAACTATTAGCCTATTAATTTTAATTCATCTGAAATCTTGACATACTCTCTCTTTCTCCCTATTTTAAACTTGCTATGGAAGTTTATAGCATAATTTTTAAGTGTAAGTAAATTTTAGCATGGTTCATGATTCTCTACAATATTTTCTCTCATAAAAAATATACGTAAATCAAAAATAATTATAATCTCATAATTTTAATACATGAACTAAACGTTTTCAAATTTTAATTTTTAAAAGAATGCTCTTTTCCAAATTTACCCTTACTTTTCTCCGTCACATTTCATCTGCGCCTCTCTCTTCCGTTCTCTCTCTCTCCTCCTGATTCCTTTCGTCTTCCTCCCGATTTCTCTAGTAGATTCCTTCTCTTGATTCCTTCACTCTCCCAACCGGATTTATCTCTCCTGATTGTCCTCTCTCCCCGCCTTTCTTCCTCTTCCAGTTGGAGCTCCCAATTGCTGACAATGTTGTGACGACCTCCCTTTCGCGATTCCGGCATTGCGAAGATATTAGTAGATCGTCTTTTCGTCTTCTCGTCGCCATTGTTTTCTGGTCGAGCTCCGGAGATCGTCTTGGCGAACGAGTTCTGCAGATCGTCAATCTGCGGAAGATGTCGCGTCTCCCGATTCGCCAATTGGTTGTCGCTGGAGATCCGAGAGATTGACGGCCGTTTGCCACCATTTTTCCTTTTATGATTTCTGCATTTTTCTGTTTTAAGCCGTGATGGCCACCTGATCATTACATAGAGTACATGTGCTTGAATGGTTGGTTGGGTGTGGACTTGATGATCCTGACATTGCCCACTTATTCAAAAACTGATGTTGATTTCGTACTTTCGAACTGTGGAAATATACTTTATTATGCTATTAGAGAATGAGTTCATAGATCTTTGGCACTTGCCATATTTTTTCATGAGAAAGAACTCAATGAACAATATTTTCGAAGTGTGAAGAGGCAAGGATTTGTTCTCCACTTCTTTTTATCACTGTTCTGTACGATGTTGTTCAGTTTTTTATTTAGGTGACAGTTTGTTTTGAGAGTTTGTTAGTTTAAAATCATGATTTTTATTCTATTATAATGTTTTTTTTTATAAAAAATTTAAATTTTAAAAATTAGAATCATTAATCATAATTTTAAACTCATGAACTAAATGTCACTTTGATAGTTTGTGTCTTTTTTTTTTTTTTATGAAATGGTGTTCAGTGTACCGATTGTCCACGACCGGATTTTTGAGTGGATACCATATTTCCAACAATATAGTAGTAATACTATAGTAGTTACAAGAAGTAAATAGTGATTAATTACATTTTTAAATATGATAAATATTATATTTATCGATAAATACTTTAGTAGTTACAATTTAGAATCTGTAAATATTGTATTTACCATTAAATATTTTAGTAGCTAAAATATTGAATATGATAAATACTGTATATAACTGAAAAATATTGTATATATCTAAAAATACTATAATAGTTACCGATTTGAAACTAGAAAATATTGTATTTACTTGTAAATACTTTACTAATTACAATTTTGAATATCGGTAAATATTATATTTACCAGTAAATACTTTAGCAGTTATAAGTTGAAATCTGCTATCTTCACTAGTAAGTATGGTATTTATCAGTAAATATAGTGTTTAGTGGTTGCCGGAGTCAGTAGCGGAATTTTCAGATAAATATGATATTTACTAGTAAATACAATATTTACCGGTAAATACATTGTTAAATAGTCGCCGGAGTCGGTTGTCAAATTTTTAGATAAATATGATATTTACTCGTAAATACAGTATTTACTAGTAAATATAGTATTAAACGGTCGCCGGAATCAGTGCTTGAATTTTCAGATAAATATGATATTTACCAGTAGTAAATACAGTGTTAAACGGTCACCGAAGTCGGTGGCTGAATTTTCAGGTAAATATGATATTTACTAGTAAATACGGTATTTATCAGTAAATACAGTGTTACATGGTCACTGAAAAACAGTCATTGGTCGCTGGAAAACGGTCATAGGTTGCTGAAAAATGGTCTCCAGTCACTAGAGCTGGCCATGGTGGACTTGACTATAATCTACCTATTTTAAAAAATATACTATGATTTACTATTTTTGTAAAAAAAATAGATGTTTAGGGGGGATGAGTGAGGTGGAAAAGGAGGTTTAGGGATATTTTTGGATTTTTAATAATGTCTAAAGCTTAAAATATCAAATTATGCTATAATTTACTATTTAAAAAAAATATGTTATAATTTACTATTTTTAAAAAATATGCTATAATTTACTAATCACTTTACCAATTATGTTATTTCCCTCTTTATCTCTCATCGTAATTCTATATTTGATATAAGGTTTTAAGATTTTTATTCCCTGAAATATAAACCTCATGGAACTCATTTTTTCTCATTTTAAGACAATTCAGATGGGTTTAGACTAATTGACAATGGGAAAAAGAGACCAATACTCCTTAAAATACACAGGTCTTAAATTTTCTCTTTTTATTTTTTATTGATATCTTTTAGTCAAAAAATTATATTAATCAAAAGTGTATTGATAAAAAATAAAGAGAAAAAAAAATCTAATAACAATGCATGATGAGTTAGTACACCAATTTTCTCATTGACCCGATAGTGATAATTAAAATTAATAAGAATCCCATTTCTGAGTATACCTAAGCCAAGAATTTAGATGGACGGAAGTGACTAAATTGGCCTTTTATTGACAATAGTTGGGGCTTAAAAAAAAGAAAAAAAAAAAAAAAAGGAAGAAAGAAACTTATTCGAGCGGGGAACGAGGAATTTGGAAACGGAATCGCCGAAGTGGCATCTCAAAGGAAGGATTTCATGTCCAACGGCTAACCTCCAATAAAGTTTACTAAGGGCCTCAGAACCATACTAACAAACAAAACAATCACAAGGAGACACGGATGAAAAGAATGGATGAGTAGCTAACCTCCTCGTGTTTTATTGAAATGTCTTGTTTTATCTTGTATTTTCAAGAATGTCATGAATATTTTCCATGTTTTAATTTCATATTGCAAACTATTTCGACCAAATTAAATCAAACTTAGGTGCGAAAAAAGACCATTTACATCTTAAACTTGACCAATTCGATCAACTTCATGGTTAATTCTTTTTGCACTTTTTAACTAAAACTAAATTTTATGAGAGGAAGTTTTCAACGTAAAATTAATGAAAACACAAGATAAAATCTAAAACGTAGAGCTTTAAGTAACTGGTGCTTGCTTAAAAATCACTTTGAATTAAGAGACGAAGAAAAGATGCAAAGTCACAAGAAAATGACCAGAAAACACGAAAACTGTCGGGAAAAAACGTAGTGAGACCAAACCAAATTGAACCAAGTGGGACCTAAGGAAGGCACAGAAATGACAAAACAATAGCAAGAAAATGGGCAATGAGAGAGAGAGAGAGAGAGAGAGAGAGAGAGAGGTCTTCAATGGTGCGCCACTATCACCACTACGTATTGGAGGCTTCAAATGGAATGGAGGGGAGGGGACGGAAAAGCACCATCCATGCATGTCAATGATCTCCACGTCCCTACGATTCCAGCACTCAAAAAGATTGAAAAAAGAAACAAAAACAAGCGCATATACGAGCACATAAGCCAGACCAAAGACAGTGACAGAGATTTGTGCCAAGTCATGCTCACATAAAGCATCAGTTCCCATCTTGAGGTCTTTATAGAAAAGAGAGAGAGAGAGAGAGAGAGAGAGAGAGAGAGAGAGGAAACTGGATTCAGCACCAGACACACAATAAACAAACAATATTATGTGTGTGTGCCACAAACCCCACTGCGTATTGGGTCTGCAGGCAATTTGCACCATCCCATGCATACCACTATTATTTTATACTACATTCATGTTCACTGGATTTCCAACTGATGAGTGAAAATGAAATGCAATAAGAGAAAAAAACAGTAAAAGGAAAATTCTGGAGTCAAAAGCAATAAGCATTAGTAACCAAATATTGAAGGAAATTATTTATCATTCCAAGTACTTAAAAAAAGAGGGCACAAGTATATAGTAGTCGAGAGTAGTGGCAACACACAGTACGTAATTACGTTTGCAACTAGAAAAGAGATTAAATATTACATATAGACTCCTTGGATCAAACTTAACTATCTCCACACTTCTCAACAGGCCCAACAATGGGATGCAGTCTCAAATTGGTATACCCCTTTGACGACTGGAATTTCGGAATTGAACCATGGTGCTGAATACCAGCTGTTTTTATTTTCATCAAGCCGACCTGTAGAGGGGGAGAGGGAGATAGTGGAAGAGAGAAAAAACTAACACACCATAACTGCAATAGTAGAAACAAAGAGAGTTCGATAGCAATTACCATTCACCACAACATACTTCAAAGCTCAATCCCTTAAATTACCAACTCCAAGCTTCTGAACTTCAACCTTGAGAGACTTCAAGTACTGAACAGCTTCGTCTAGAACAGTGACAGTAGTCATTTGATTGCCACCAGGTACAATCCCTTTCAGTGCCCTCACCATCTTCTTCATTTTCTGTCGTTTCCTTTCATCATTGCAGCTGCTACTAGCACCGTCAGAAGACCTATGAATTGAAGAAGATGATCTGTTCTTCTTGGTCTTTGAACCATAATTGGAACAAGATTCAGGTGACGAGCTTCCGTAATTGCCATAAGTCCGCGCTGTGCTTACCTCTTCCTCATCATATTTTTGTTCTTCCTCTTCCAAGCTCAGCAATGCATCAATATCATCTGAATCCTCTCTAAGAGTAGATGATATTTCTCTGGCTTCAATATTTGTCTCTTTTCCTCCAAAATTGCTGGGGACATAAGCTGTACCCATGTTTAAACCAGGACTACTAAATTTGTGTGCAATTGCAGGGTGGAACATGATCTGACTGCGATGATCAGTCTGGTCGAAGATAATGAAATTCCTGGGGCAAACTTCAGAGGGTTGAAACTCGATGCCATGAAAGTGTTTCATGTGCATGGGACCTGGAGGTAAATCTGCACCAAAAGCAGGTGCAACAGGGATATGCATATAATTGTTACCCATTTGATACTCAAGGGGAGGTGCCTTCATTTCAGGGTAAAATTGGTTGTCGTTCTGCATCAGGATTGTATTAAAAGAAGGAAAGTAGGAAAGATGGATTTTCAGCTTTGTGAGTGGACAATTATTAGATTTCAACTGGATTTTGAGGTTCCTAACGTGATCACAAGACTATGCAGTGAGTGAGGGTATTGCCACTCAGGTCAGAAGAGCTAAACACTATTACTGCCTTTTTATGTATGAACAAAGCCAGATGGCAGTCCGTCCCAAATCCCAAAGTCCGATGGTTTGGAAAATATCAGACTACGTGACAGGTTTGAGCAACTGACGAAAGTATTCAGCCTGTAATAGCAAGCGAAGAAAACAATCATATAGACATTTACTAACTTCAAACGGATAACAATTAGACGCAATTGAGAGAGAGAGAGAGAGGAGATTGAGTATTCAAGTAATGTAGAGCAGCAAGTACAAATTATTTTGAATTATGAGGAATCATAATGAAAATGAAGGGGGCACAGAATCTCATGATTTGCGATATACTTTTGTGTGAAAAGTTATACCAGTACACTGATCAAACGACAGGCAAAAGCGCAAAACGTATTTTTTCACCCCTCACAGAAGGCTAGGAATTTAAACCATCGACAATCACATCTTATTTGCATGCTCAATAAGTCTCTTTGCACACGACAAGAATACAAGCAAGCAGTCAGATTTACTTCCACTTTAACAAATGCTCAATAAATGGCTATCTAACACGCTAGGCCAACTGCCCTCAGTCAGAAAACAAAGTAGTAGAGTGCTTCGAAAGACTAGTAAGGAACTAAATAATAAAGTCCTTTAAGTATGTAATAACTATTATTTCTTTATTTATAGATCTCTCCATTTTAATAGTTAAGAAAATTCTTTTTTCCCTTCTCAGCTTCCTAATAAGTAAAACATAAGATCACGAACCACAAATAAAAGCATGAGCGACAGATTGGCTCTGTTTCAACATATCACAAGCGCTCAAGAATTCTATTTCCACAACAACACATTTCAAACTTAGCAACATATTACATAGAACCAAAAGCTGAGACATTACAAATAAAAACAATAAGTAATAAAAAAGAAATAACATCTATACCTGGCAAACTTGCATCACTTGGTAGTAAGCAATGATCCCAACACTCATTTTAATCTTTCCAACTTCTTTAACAGCTCGATATCTTTTGATGGTTACTGCAATGAACATTCTCACTCCTCCAACCAGCTTTAAATTCGAAAACCCAACAAGCGAATTCTCAAAAAGAATAAAACTCCAATGGAAGCTCACCTGCAGTGGCAAGTGAAACTGAAATCTCAAACACCATTAGAATAAAAATAAAAAATAATAAAAAAAACACAAAAAAATTAGTAAATAGGGTCACCAATATCTCTATAGTTCTGGTAAATCTTCAAATATCTTTACATGAACAATATTTCAATCTAAGCGTGCAAAACTTTACAATTCTAATAGAAAATCGTCTCACCAAAATAGATCAAATTACAGAATAACGCGAAAGAACACCACCAAGCGAACACATTTACTGTTGTAATTAGCAAGAGATGACGTCCACGGCATCTTGATTCAGTTCTTCAATTCCACTATCATCGGAAAAGGGATCAAACTTTTTCTGTACAAAATAAATAAATAAAAAAAACAAAAATCATAATCAACTCATAGCAATCAATCAAAATTTCTAGAACAAGCATACGAGGAGCTAATCTAATCACCAGTTAAATTATGCTGAAAAAAATATAAATTCTCTTAAACCAAGCTCTGATTTCCTCAAATTTTCTCCTCAACCAAACAGGAAAAAAAAAAGTCTTGATTCCAATCAAACGAAAATGAACGAGAGAAAAAGAAAACCTACGATGTACAGAGAAGATCCAGAGGTTGAAGACGAAGTAGAAGAGTAACGATTCAGTGGATTAGCAGAGGAATTCCCTAGATTTGCGGTTTCTGAACAAGATCTACGACGATAGTCCTTGAGAGAGAAAGTAGGAAGAGAGGAAAGGGGGTGTGGTATTTAATTTTGGGAGGTGTTGGGTGGGATTTATTGAAAGGTGTGCCGGTTTTCAGACAGAGGGGAGTCAAACCCGGAGAGTGTGAGCCGTTGGATTGGGGGGCCTCGGAAATGCCCTCCGTCTATTGCGGATGCAATGCTCGCCGTCCGATCTAGCACGCGTGCAAGGGGGCATGTGGGCCCCACCAGTTTGACGATTTTGCCTAACTGAGAAAAAAAAAAAAAAAGGAAAGGAAAAAGGGGAAAAGGAAGGACTCCCTCCTCGTGTGAATGCTCTGCTTTCATTATTATTGTTCCTTAACATCAATAAATCATTGTTAATTAATTTGAAAAATTAGTCTAATCTTTATCTAACACCACTATTTGTATACTGTTTTTATTTATAAGATCCAATCCATTATTTTATTTGACATAATTTTGGCCTCTTCTATTTATTTATGAGAGCATCCTCTCATGTGTTTTCCGTTGTTATCCTCTTTTAATAACGTTTTTTTTTTTTTACTTAGAATTATAATAGATTATATTTGCAACCCCAAAATATTTCACTTGGGGTAAAACAATAGTATTATTAATTAAGTGTGCATAGATAGATGAGGGTCCGTTGGGAAAGTAGGTTTAAAGCATGTAGTTTGAATCAAAATTTAAATTTTTTTTAGAGAAAAACGTTATAGTAATACTTTTTAAATTTATTTTTTTTGAGAAAAAATACTGTTTAAATTTAAACCTGACTGGTTTGAATCATTTTCCAAACACATCCTGAGTGTTTTTAACTAGTTGAGATTTATTGTCTTTTTTTATGTCTTATGATGTCACTTCAATTGAATTATGAAAACTCATGAATTACTAAAATATTTTTGGTATTTAGTTTTTATTTATGTAGTTAGGTTGTTAAATTTTAGATAAAAGGACACCAATGAAATTGTCTCTACACGAATTTCCAATAGACAAAATTGTTCTAAATTAGGTTTTTATTCATCCAACAAAATCTTGATGGAAAAGGACGACTCGTTCTTTTAATTTATTTAATTAATTAATTAATTAATTTACTTACTTTTTGAAGATAAACAATTTTTTTTTACTAGTTTTACCCTAACATGTAAAATTATAAAATTTACTCCCTCCAAAATTTTCTTTTTACTAGTTTTACCCTAACACGTAAAATTATAAAATTTACTCCCTCCAAACTACACGTCATCTTCACTAGTCTTTTTTTTTTTGTTGAGATTTGTAGATGAACAAAATGACTAATCTAAAATAATTTTTAAATCAAGTTCTCGTTCTTTTGACATCTTAAATGTCATGTAGCAAAATGATATTTGACCTATAGCTAGGGGCCTAAAAATGAGATGGAAAATTTGCGTCACAGGTCCCCAAAGTGTGGCACTTATAATACCTAGGTCCCCGTTTTGAAAATCATTGTATCTAGGTCCGTAAACTTCCAATCTGTTGACATTTGTTAGTTCCTTTTATCTATTATGTCTTTAACCTTACCATTAACCACTTTTTTCACTATACAATTTTAGCATTTTCATTTCATGAGACTTTCACGGGACAAAATTCTCAAATTTGTAGTTGCATTTTTCATTTTGATTTGAATTTGACCATAAAGCCATAATTTTCAATTTCATTTAAAATTCTCAATTCTACAAATACGGTATGACAATAACATTCTACTAGTAGAGTTTTACTTTTTACTGTTAGTATAGTCTGAGAGACGTATTTATTATGTGGGATAAAAAGGGATATTAAACTAATAATTCTATATTTCAATTTTACTCGTAACAAATCATCCAATTTACTCGACATAGACAAGTAATTATTGCACCGCAAGTAAATTTTTCATGGGAGATTAGTTAAAAAAAAAAAAAAAGGATAAAGATGTTCTTATTTTTTGGTTCATTTTTGCTATTATAAAGTAATCTTTGATCCTCAATCTATTTTTGCCATTTTTTCTCAAAAAAAAAAAAAAAAAAAAAACACCTACAGAATCAATAAATTTTTGTATACATCTTCAAAATTTCAATTTCATTTAACATTTAAGACAAGAAATTACAAGCTTATTCTCTTATTACAACATGTCATTTGAAGACCCAACTGCAAAAAGATTTGTTGTGAAAAGGGGAAAATATTTGTTATTATAACTCAAACTTTTTTATGTGAAAGAAAACATTATAATAAAAAAGTTAAATTTAAATTTTTTTAAGAATAAATACTATAGTAAAAAAATTTGAATTGTGAAAAGAATAATGACTCAAATTTTTAAAGGAAGACACAAGTATAACAAGGTTAAATTTCTAAGAACCTAAAGAGTAACTTTCCCGAACGAGATCAACCTTCGTTGTATATGCAAATACTTATTAATTAAATTATGATATAGATTTATGTACGTATAACAGGGCACAACGATGAATTGGACAAGATATTTATGATGCCACATAATAATATTAGTCAAATATTTCTCTTCGAATATATATATATATATATATATATATATATATATATTTGTTCAATATTTTCTCG